ACTGCTTTGGAATGTGCACTGCGTTCCGACGGTAGTGCTAAGCAAACAGTTAAATTTTAAAAGCGCGGTTATAAGATCTAACAGATCTTCTTGTTGACACTTGTGTAAGACGGCCAAAACGGTCGACGTAGCAACGACAGATATGAGTGTACGATTTATGAGCTTAGTGACAAAAATAGTGGAGAAAATAACTACAGGAACAAAATAAACGGGAACGAGTGACACTGAAATACAATAAACAAACTAAAATAAGCCTAATGCTAATAAAGAGTATAATAAGCAAAATAAACTAACTTAGCTAAGAAATAACAAAGTAATTTGGTGCAAATAACAAGACAATTGCATAAGGAAGATTGCATGACAAAAGTAAAGAAACAGGAAATTGTGTGACAAAAACTGTCAACATTTGTTGTGTATTATTTTACATTTTGGACATTTTCAGCCTGAATATGAGCTCAATTAGCTCCAGTCTACTCAAAAAGGCATTTGCAACACAGGGGTTTCATTAAGAGCTGGGCACCGGGCAAACTGACCAGCTATAAACAGAGCTTTACCAGGCTGCTTCATCAATAATTTAAATAGTTGCTGTCCCATACTATTTCCCTGAGGCTAACATTCTTCTAAAAAACTGAGTTTATTTCAAGTCATAGAAAACACAATTTTACCAGTTATTATAGGTGTTTATATCTCTCTTGTATCTTCAAATTGCAAAGTAAATTTTCTCAATTTTGCTAAGGACAGGTGAAATACATGTACTCAGTTATCTATATAAGGAAACTTCAACAAAAGTTTCGACTGCTTACTGCTAGTCTTCTTAAGGTGATAAGGTCGACTGATTGCACGGTATCATTTATTCACAAAGGTCGGCTGTGATTGGTGCATTTCGATCCTCCTATTGTTCCATTGTTCCGGCGAGTAACTGTTCCCTCAGTGGTCCGCTGTTGTACCATTCTCCTGTTGTTGTGTTTTTTGATCGTGGGCATCCATGCTTCAGGAATTTCAATTCCACTATCCCTGTTGATGTTATTAGGGTGAAGTCTTATGGGAATAGCTTCCTTGACCCTACTTGTGTACCAGTGAGGATCTTGATCAATAAACTTGACCTCATTCCAGATAGGATAGTGGCCGGTCTCATCGCTGTGTTCAGAAACGGCGGAAGTCTGGGTACGGGTGAGTCGTATATCCCTGTTGTGTTCTTTGATCCTCTCCTGCATAGATCTCCCTGTTTCCCCAATGTAGA